TTTACCGGCACCTTCAAAATAATCATCGGAGAGAATTGAGTGATATTAAAGCTCTTACAGTCGTGATTCGAACGACATTACTACAGAAACAACAAAGTTTTTGGGCGAAGTCAAATTTTGAAATTACCCATTGCATCCCGCATCAGTGTAACATATTCAAAAATAGCAAACCTGTGCATCCAGCTTTAGCTGTGCCCCTAGTTATCTTGTATCGAGACACGAAAATTTTGGTTCAACTAGTTTTTTCAACTGTGTTTACTCTCATTGTCGATTGTACCTGTTTTCCAGGGTTTCGTTTAGATCAGCTCCTAGCAGAACGTACAAAAAGCTTCGCATTTCGCAAAAAAGTATAAATATTTTTTATTTATGTGGTCAGAATTTTCAGTGCTACCAGCACAGCAACCGGTAAACTTGTGTTAGGATTTGCCCTTGTTGAACAACAAAACTTAAATATGTATAAAACTTAAGTATAATTGCTTTACAGTAATGAATCAAATTACTAGACAAGTTTCTTTATTCAAATTACATCTGTTCCATTGATTCCAGTAACTATTAATTAAAAAGTATTGCATATTTTTCATTTTCGCCAAAACGTTAGAATGTTTTTTATCTGAATTAAACAATAATTAGTTTTGTTTGACTTGATGTTATGTGTTTGAATCTCAACTGGTGACGCTTTATCAATACATTTTCTAGTGTCATCTTTTGCAGTGGCCAGAACAAAAAAATATTGTCAGCAAAAAATTTTTGTTCCGCTAACAGAGTGGGGAGGATCATTTCAACTATGTTATTACTATTTTTCAACGCTAACTCAGGTACCATAAAATTTTATCAGATTAATTCAAGAGATATATCACATATAAGCCCTTTATTTGATGATTCAGACAATTTTAAGCTTTTGCAAAAAATTTCATTCAAATTTAATAAAACCCGGTTTGAAACCTTTGATTTTTAGTCTAAATTTCAAGCGAGTAGCTTTTTTTAATGAAAAATATTTACTTAACTTAAAAATTAGTTTTACTAACAAATTTTTAAACCTTCATCTAATGTTCTTAATTGCACCTGCAAGAGCAAGTGTCTTCTAATTGGGAACCAGTTTTTTTCCTTAAAGAATTTTTCTTACATAAATTAAGTAATTAAGGAATCGGTGCAGTTACTTTCACGTGCTGTCACTAACAATTTCTTCAGATTTCAAATATAACTAACGAATCCTTATTCGGTAGTAATTACGCTTGCGATTAGCAAGCGTTATCAAATCGGAATATAGACTTTTTTCGGGTTAACAACTTGTTTAACAGAATCACTTGTTATCTTGATTCATAATGAATTCAAATTTCTAAGCGTCTCCGGCACACTTAGTCTGGAGGTAACAAATGCGCCTGTCTGCTTATGTTTTTTTGGCTGAGTTGCCACACCTTAGAATTTTTTTGCTGTACGCAGTTTTCATTGTGGCTGCTTTTGTTTTCATTTACTCCTGTAGTTTGTAACTCTACTAATCTTGACATCGTAAATTTTGTTGCTTTCGCTTAAAAAGTTTTTCGACCTAAATGATTTTGGCTTATAGTTTCTCGACTTACTAGCCTAAATTTAGGTCGTTCGATGGAGCCATAATTTTTATGCTTTCCTCCAGATCGCACAAAATGCTAAATATCTCGAATAGAATTTATAGTTCATTTTTCATGACAATTGTTTTTGAATTTTCATTCAACGGCGTTTTATGTGTTTCTGGACTTGTTTTCCGCAAATACAACATCATTCTAGACAACCTTTTGAAGTCTGGTTTTTTCGAAATTTTTTCCGTTCTCTTAGGACTTAGTGGTTCTCCTTTCCTTTCCTGTCTGCTAGCTTGCAATGCTGTTTTGTGGTATCGCATGAGATGCGAAACTCCGCTTTGCCTGTGTTGATTTTTCAAATGAACTTGAAGAAAAATTTAGGATTCGTTTTTTCTTTCCAATTGTTATCGGATCAGTTCTTTTTCATGCATATTTTAAGAGAAAAAACGAATCCGAAAAAAGAGCATGGGGTTTTTTCAGATTGAAAATAGTTTTTACTATAATTGAAGTAATTCTGTAATTCGGAATTTTATCAACTCGATTGTGAATGTATACTTTTTAGCTTATGTTTTTTTGATAAAATGATTTCTGCTTAAAGGTGTATACTAAAGGAGCAATTTGCTCCATTGGCGTATTTGTTGCACCCATGCTTGAGACGAAAAAGCATTGGAGTTCGATTCCAGTCCGGACCTCTGTTGCAAACAAGCTGAAAAAACTTTGTTTACTCCAGAAGTGGTAGTTTTTGATTCTTCTTTTGGAGCCTTCTTGACATCAAAGAAATGGAGAAAAAAATCTTCGAAAAGTTTTTTGAAAACATACAGAAATACTTTCATGACTTATAGACGCTTTTTCAGTATCTCTGCGGTTTACATGCCCGTTCTGTTTGAAATATTGTTTTAATGTTGGTTGTAAAAAAATAACCAACTACGATTTCAAAAAATCGTTTTTTTCTGTTCTCTTTATTCGGCTCCAGAGGTTTCGGCGTACATTATATCGGCATAGTGGCCTCTTTTTGAGAATTGTTTGGAGCAAAAATTTTTTTTTATGCAAGTGCTTTTAGTGGGTACTAAAAAATCTTTAAAAGTTTTTTATAATTTTTTTATGGAAACATCTTTTGTAGGCTGAACGTATGTCTGCTCAAACTTTGTCGGCTTTGTAAGTTTTGTTTCGATACTAACTAAAAATTCAATTGTTCTCCGGATTTTTATGTAATTTGTTTTCTGTGCTAATTTGATTCAATTGCTGTACTTAGTTTCTTTGCAATGATATCTTGACATCTTTTTGACCATTTTTGCCTAAACGTACATATACATTACATATTTAGTCAGCTGGTTTAGAGTAACACTTCTTCGATGTCCAATATTGGTCTATGGATCGACTTTTTAGAGAGAAATTTTGCTATCTGAACTTCAATGTTGAATCTAAGTCGGCTTGGCTGCTGCTGAAATTTTGTCATTTATAGGACCAACTTTTTAACAGCCAATATAATGCTTCGTATAGGCGTCATTTTGTTCTATAGCAGGATTTTGTAACCTTTCGAATTTTATAATATTTTATTTTTAAGTGTAAAAGAACGATGTGATTTTTTGTCAGGAAACAATCTTAAAATTTGTTCACCCTCAAATTTGATTTTTCGCGGTTTGACTTTTGATTTCTGTTTCAGTTTATTTTTGCTCCGACAATTGAAATTGGGAGGAACTTCATATTCGGGCGTGTTGTAGTTTTTTTTTTTTTTCCACGCAAAATCAGGTACTACAAATAAATTTCCCCACAGTGGAGAAAAACCGGTTTGAAATTTTTGATTTTTCGTCTATTTTCGAGCGAGCAGGCCTTTTTTTCCATTAAAAGCAATTACCATAAGAAATTATCGTAATGGGTGGAGTGGTACATCATATTAGAGCCCTTTCAGCCCTGATTCGAGCGACATTTAAAAATTTTCAAAAAGTTCCAGTGTCGAGAAAAACCGGTTATTTATTTTGTTTTAGTATAATTTCGAGAAGAAAAGCAAGCAAGAGGGCCTTTTTTAGACGGATAGGCCATGAACTTTACTTTAGCTCCACGACAATTTTTACCGGCACCTTCAAAATGAAAATATTCAAAATTTCAAACAAAAATTCTGCAAAAGTAGGGGAAAAAAATAGAAAAATTTGTTGATTTTTGTCTTCGTTTTTTTTTGCTGCTGAAATTTTGTTCGATTTGCCTATTTTAATTTAAATGTGGAATATCCCTAATTTCTAGGTTTTGTCTCATCCTTGTGTCACACGACGCACAAAACAACACAATTTTGAAAAAATAAATATGGAAAAGTTTTCTTATGGTCGGAATATTGTGCTACTTGCTAAGCAACCAGATATCCTTGCTCTAGTTTGAAAACAACTCTTGGAAAATTTCCATTGGAATGAAAAAACTTACCTATTGATCCAGTTTCCTTTAAATGGGACAACTTAGAGAAAAAAGTGCCGGTCTTCTTATCGGTTTCCTTGAGTTTTTTCACTATCGGTTGGCGGTGTTTGTATTAAGAAATAATTGAATATATGAATAATAAAAATTACGCCTGCGATGAGCAGGGGTGTTGCAACCGGGTTTTTAACTTTTTTGCCCGTTAATAACTTGGTTCATTGGATAACTCAAATTGGTGGTCATCTCCACATCTGTATTTTGGTCAACTAACCGACAAATTTTGAGCATGTCTGCATGTTGAATTATCGTTCTATTCGAATTTTATTTTTGTTGCCTGTCAATTCACCAATTCCAATTTTAGTATATCATTTTTTTGATTTTTTTTCCTTTTTTATTTTAATTAAAAGGTTAGGCTTACATTATCGGCTTAGCGTCCTCATTTCGAGTCATTTTACGACCAAAAACAGGTTGTTATGTAGAGTTTTTGAGGGACTGAAAAACGTTTTCGAGTGTTTGTAAGAACAAAAAAAGGTTTTTATGTAGAAATTTTGAGGGACTGAAAAACGTTTTCGAGTGTTCGTGAGAACAATTATTTCAGTATTTTTCAAAAAAAAAAAAATTTTATTCAAAATTTGTCTTTTTTGACGGTTATTTTGCCATGCTATATTTGTGTTGAATCGCAAGTGTTGAAAAGCTTCGCTTTGCCTCTGCGTTAATTGTTTTATATATTATAAAGCTCCGAGAAATTATTAGTTTCAGAAAGTTTACCATTTCCTCATTGATTATTTAATTACGTTCATTAGGTTATTTTCTAATAATTTTTTTGATTTTGTTAGGTTATGAAGTATCAGGACTAAATTTGAACCAGTTTTACAAACCTTGTTTGTTTTTCTGCTTTCAGCGTTTTCTTTTATTTTGAATCGAGGGTGTCGCCCCTGTATTAAAATAAGTCTAGTTCGCGCCATAGACAAACAGTTGGCTTGTTTTTCCCCGCTACTGTCAAACCTCAATTGAAGACTTATCTAAAAGGTTTTCACCTTCAGATTGAAATGCGTTTGAGCAGATGTCTACGGAGTCAGAACTCCATTAAGAACCACTTTCTACAGAAGATCAAGTTCAATGGGCCAATCACAGTGTCAGAGTACATGAAGACCTGTCTGTACCAGCCCCAATTGGGATTCTACTCTCGCAACCCTCTTGGTGAGTCTTCAATTCAATCTAAAATAAATTCAGTCTCGACCAAATTAGGTTGATCAGAATAATTCTCGACCAAACTTGGTTTATTTTGATCAACAGTTGGTTAGGAGAAAATAAGCGGTTGTTCTTAAAAAATTAACCGCTCGTATGTTGTTGATTGATAGTCTCATATCTAAATCTTTAACCGTAAGTCAAAAGTTATATTGCTTACTGTTTTCGATGCCATTTTTGACATTTTATAGCGCAGCTGTCAAAATAATTGAGACTTGTCATTTTGACCTTAGGTCGCCATGGCCATTTCATCACATCTCCCGAGATCTCGTCTCTGTTTGGGGAGATGTTGGGCATCTGGGCAGCGAGACAGTGGGAACTGATGGGTTGTCCGGTGCCCCTCACATATGTGGAGTTGGGACCGGGTAGGGGTCTCATGTGTGCAGATGCGATCAATGCATTTTGTAAAGTGACAGATGTGAAAATCAGTCAGATCCAAATCAAACTAGTCGAGATAAGCGAAGCGCTGAAGAGAATTCAAAAGGCATGTAAGTTAGCGAATCGCCATCATTTTTACAGAACTACTTTACTTTAAAATGTATTTATTTCTTAAAATAACAATCTTGTAGTTTTTTGCTTAAGAAATGAATTTTTCTAGAAGGGTACTCATCAATCAATATGAAAGAAATTTACATTTACGGGAAGACGAAGCAAATAAATGGGCGCTTAGAATTGCATTAAGAAGAAATAATTGTGTCCGTTTCGGATTTATATCTAGGGGTGGGGGTTGTGGAGAGTAAGAGCCATTTGAAAGGAAATTAACAGGTATGTTTTTCTTTGTTCGTTTTGAGTGAAGCTCACTTATGTTGTGCAATTTGATTTTTAGGAGCGCATTGGTTCAGTACTGAAGAGTCCGGAGAACCTCAACATAGACTGGTACAACAACATAATGAATTGTGACATCAAGAGTCCCTTTTTCCTGTTTGCAAACGAGTTCTTCGATGCAGTTCCCATCCACGTCTTCAAAAAAAGTACAACTAGATGGCTGGAAGTTCTGGTCGACGTAGACGATAATGACAACTTTGTGTTCAGACATTCGCCAAACATTACACCTTCGCTATCACTTGTGCCAGAAGTTTTCCATGGAATGAGTCACCTGGAACTCTCATTTGAGTCTGGAATTATGCTGTTGGACATTGCAAAAAAGTTAAACAATATGCAAGGTACTGCATTAATAGTTGATTACGGTCACGATGACTTAAATAGTTCGCCCGATACCTTCAGAGCATTCCGGTCGCACAAACAAGTGAACCCTCTAGAGGACCCTGGAGAATGCGATCTGACAGCTGACGTGAACTTTGCTTATTTCAAACATCTACTCAATACTGACAAGTGAGTAATACCAAATGACTGTTTCGAACGAGTAAGTCTGTTTAATGACTTCCTCTGTTTAGTTTTGAACGTCTCATACATGCAAACAGTCTAATATACTAATTTAGATTCACGGATTCTCCCTGTCGGAGAAACAATGAAAGATTTATTATTGTGGAAACTTTTCGCCCAATGTTTTCAGTTCTTACTAAGAGTCGATGAACGTAGTGTAAACATCATGAAAAACGTAATCGACTTCTATTTTCGAAATTGGAGTTCCCAATGAAATAAAAATTTTACCTATTGATTCAGTTTTCTCAAATTCAAATTAGCTATTGATCCAAATTACCCAAATTCTAATTATTACCTAAATTCTAATAGCCTATTGATCCAAATTGGATTTATTTTATCATAAAGTGTCAATCATAAATTGTTCTAGAAAATGAAAGAGAGTTAAGGCCATATATTTTTTGTTAGAAGTTCGAAAGTTAAAGTTTTTTCAATGAATATATATTTTTGTTTCTTTACGTTCATTGACTGTTTTCCAACTGTCGTTGGCTATGTTTATAGTACAAAGAGACTTGGTTTAAATGCTGTTAGTTTTCTCTCTGTTTCAGTGAGCATAGCGTGGACACGTATGGCCTGGTTGATCAGGGTGACTTCCTGATGCAACTGGGAATCCACCAAAGACTGGAGGACGCTATGAGAACTGCACCCAGTGCAGAGAAGTCACAAGACATACTCTCTGCATTCAAGTCCATTACCAGTCCACAACACATGGGATCAAAATTCAAAGTGTTCTCAATGCAAACGAGGCAACTGCCGGAGCCGCCTGGTTTTGTTTTAGATGACAGCGATTGAAATTAAATTATATTCTTGACTGAACGAAACTTTTGAACCTGTCTTTCTTTACGAGTATCTTGTGCTTGAAATAATCATAGTTGAGAAATTCTTAGAAACATCAACAAAAGAGTCTGTTTTGATGCTTGATTTGAAAAGGGTATTGCAATCACCTTTTCTGGGAAATAACTTGTTCAGAGAATAGCGAAAATTAGAAATAGCAAATAAATTCAAGTGATCAATGTGGTTGTTCTTTTTACTGGATGAATTTCGAGGTGCAACATCTCTGTTACGGTAGGCGTTTTCACAGTGTGATTTTTTCTTGGCATGTTTTCAGAAGTTTTTCGGTTTCGGCTATAATTCTGTCGGCTTTTTTGGCATCTTTTTTTTCTTATAGTTTTCGAAGAAATGACTTAATTCATACAGCAAGGTTTCTAAAGATAAAAGTATACCTCATACTTCCTATTTAAAATGAAGAAAAAGGACTTAAAAAATTAGTTAAGTTTGTCGTCTTTTATAGTTCGTTGAACGACGGTATATAAAAATTTTTCGTATAATTTTTTGATTTATTTTTTGTATAACTGCATGTTTTTGGACAACCAAACGCTTGACGTTTTACGAATCTACTTTTTAGCAAAGCTTACCTAAATTGCAAATTATTGAGCCTCTAAATTGACAGTTTGCTATTTTATGGAGATTTATGAAAATGTTGTTTTTATCATGTTTATTGCTGACCAACTTCAATTTGTACTTAATGAAAACTCCCATTTTGTTCGTTTTTTTTTCGTTTTAAGAATGGTCCAATTGTGCAGCGCTGAAATTTGATTTTTCGCGGATTCACTTTTTTCAGTTTGAGTTCAATTGCTTTTCCTTTTTTTAAAGGTAGCCAAATTACGTTCTTTCTTCAATAATCAAAGTAATTGATGCGATAAAACCTGATCGAACTATAGTTTCGAAAGGGATTTAATTTTTAGATTTCGTGTTATTTTAAAATTTCCGCTGAAAATAACCAGCGCAAAATAACAAGAGTATTCGGAAAATTGTTGGGCTTCAAGCCTTCAGAGGTTCGAATCTCGTAGTGTACATCTTATTATTCTCGACGTTTTTTTAACTGAAGTTTTGATTTCCCTTTTCTGTTTCTTATTTTTTTTGCCCATGTTTGAGAAGTGCAGCTTTGCCTGTTTTCATAGTTTTTTCATTGCTTTTTAGCCTATATTGTGTAACACAGGATTGGTATTTTCCTTTAAACAGGTTTTATAATTTGTCTAGGTTAGGTTTGATTTTTCTCTATTTTATATACTATTTTTAAAATTCTATTCTTTGAAATCCTGATAAATAAAATCATCACCTTTCGTTTTTTATCTTTTTTCAATTATGTTGTTTTGTTTAGCAAATTTTTAATACTTTTTTCCGTATATTTTTTTGTACTTTTCGTTCAACTGAAGTATTATTTGTGATCGAAAGTTTTTTCAAGTTGCTTGATAATTTTTTCCTATCTTTTCAGATTTGAGTTCAATTTTTTCTGTTTCAATTTGTTTTGGCTCTTGTAAACGGAATGAATTTTCTTTGTTTCAATATAATGCGTATCTAATTTGGAAAAAAAAATAGAAAACAGTAGATGCTGGATTTTTTCATCTTCCTCGATCGTCTTCTGTGCAATTTAATGCATTAAAAGCTAGCCTAGAGCTTTGGTTGAATAATTGTTTTCAAATTGTTTTGCTGATATATAGGAACATATGGAAATGGAAAGGTCTGCTGTCAGATGGAAAAGAATCAATGAATTCAAAGGAAACACACAAAAAAATTCTCCCTGGAAAAACTTCAGCCTTCCGAATTTAAAACAAAAAAATATTACCTTAAATTTCTTTGAATTTTAAAAATATTTTGTGATGACACTATTTTGATAATGATTGACACCTTTTTTTTGAACAATTAACCAAATTTGATAGTACAAAGTTTTTGTTTTATAGTACAAAGAGACTTGGTTTAAATGCTGTTAGTTTTCTCTCTGTTTCAGTGAGCATAGCGTGGACACGTATGGCCTGGTTGATCAGGGTGACTTCCTGATGCAACTGGGAATCCACCAAAGACTGGAGGACGCTATGAGAACTGCACCCAGTGCAGAGAAGTCACAAGACATACTCTCTGCATTCAAGTCCATTACCAGTCCACAACACATGGGATCAAAATTCAAAGTGTTCTCAATGCAAACGAGGCAACTGCCGGAGCCGCCTGGTTTTGTTTTAGATGACAGCGATTGAAATTAAATTATATTCTTGACTGAACGAAACTTTTGAACCTGTTTTTCTTTACGAGTATCTTGTGCTTGAAATAATCATAGTTGAGAAATTCTTAGAAACATCAACAAAAGAGTCTGTTTTGATGCTTGATTTGAAAAGGGTATTGCAATCACCTTTTCTGGGAAATAACTTGTTCAGAGAATAGCGAAAATTAGAAATAGCAAATAAATTCAAGTGCTCAATGTGGTTGTTCTTTTTACTGGATGAATTTCGAGGTGCAACATCTCTGTTACCGTAGGCGTTTTCACAGTGTGATTTTTTCTTGGCATGTTTTCAGAAGTTTTTCGGTTTCGGCTATAATTCTGTCGGCTTTTTTGGCATCTTTTTTTTTCTTATAGTTTTCGAAGAAATGACTTAATTCATACAGCAAGTATTCGGAAAATTGTTGGGCTTCAAGCCTTCAGAGGTTCGAATCTCGTAGTGTACATCTTATTATTCTCGACGTTTTTTTAACTGAAGTTTTGATTTCCCTTTTCTGTTTCTTTTTTTTTTTGCCCATGTTTGAGAAGTGCAGCTTTGCCTGTTTTCATAGTTTTTTCATTGCTTTTTAGCCTATATTGTGTAACACAGGATTGGTATTTTCCTTTAAACAGGTTTTATAATTTGTCTAGGTTAGGTTTGATTTTTCTCTATTTTATATACTATTTTTAAAATTCTATTCTTTGAAATCCTGATAAATAAAATCATCACCTTTCGTTTTTTATCTTTTTTCAATTATGTTGTTTTGTTTAGCAAATTTTTAATACTTTTTTCCGTATATTTTTTTGTACTTTTCGTTCAACTGAAGTATTATTTGTGATCGAAAGTTTTTTCAAGTTGCTTGATAATTTTTTCCTATCTTTTCAGATTTGAGTTCAATTTTTTCTGTTTCAATTTGTTTTGGCTCTTGTAAACGGAATGAATTTTCTTTGTTTCAATATAATGCGTATCTAATTTGGAAAAAAAAATAGAAAACAGTAGATGCTGGATTTTTTCATCTTCCTCGATCGTCTTCTGTGCAATTTAATGCATTAAAAGCTAGCCTAGAGCTTTGGTTGAATAATTGTTTTCAAATTGTTTTGCTGATATATAGGAACATATGGAAATGGAAAGGTCTGCTGTCAGATGGAAAAGAATCAATGAATTCAAAGGAAACACACAAAAAAATTCTCCCTGGAAAAACTTCAGCCTTCCGAATTTAAAACAAAAAAATATTACCTTAAATTTCTTTGAATTTTAAAAATATTTTGTGATGACACTATTTTGATAATGATTGACACCTTTTTTTTGAACAATTAACCAAATTTGATAGTACAAAGTTTTTGTTTTATAGTACAAAGAGACTTGGTTTAAATGCTGTTAGTTTTCTCTCTGTTTCAGTGAGCATAGCGTGGACACGTATGGCCTGGTTGATCAGGGTGACTTCCTGATGCAACTGGGAATCCACCAAAGACTGGAGGACGCTATGAGAACTGCACCCAGTGCAGAGAAGTCACAAGACATACTCTCTGCATTCAAGTCCATTACCAGTCCACAACACATGGGATCAAAATTCAAAGTGTTCTCAATGCAAACGAGGCAACTGCCGGAGCCGCCTGGTTTTGTTTTAGATGACAGCGATTGAAATTAAATTATATTCTTGACTGAACGAAACTTTTGAACCTGTTTTTCTTTACGAGTATCTTGTGCTTGAAATAATCATAGTTGAGAAATTCTTAGAAACATCAACAAAAGAGTCTGTTTTGATGCTTGATTTGAAAAGGGTATTGCAATCACCTTTTCTGGGAAATAACTTGTTCAGAGAATAGCGAAAATTAGAAATAGCAAATAAATTCAAGTGCTCAATGTGGTTGTTCTTTTTACTGGATGAATTTCGAGGTGCAACATCTCTGTTACCGTAGGCGTTTTCACAGTGTGATTTTTTCTTGGCATGTTTTCAGAAGTTTTTCGGTTTCGGCTATAATTCTGTCGGCTTTTTTGGCATCTTTTTTTTCTTATAGTTTTCGAAGAAATGACTTAATTCATACAGCAAGTATTCGGAAAATTGTTGGGCTTCAAGCCTTCAGAGGTTCGAATCTCGTAGTGTACATCTTATTATTCTCGACGTTTTTTTAACTGAAGTTTTGATTTCCCTTTTCTGTTTCTTTTTTTTTTGCCCATGTTTGAGAAGTGCAGCTTTGCCTGTTTTCATAGTTTTTTCATTGCTTTTTAGCCTATATTGTGTAACACAGGATTGGTATTTTCCTTTAAACAGGCTTTATAATTTGTCTAGGTTAGGTTTGATTTTTCTCTATTTTATATACTATTTTTAAAATTCTATTCTTTGAAATCCTGATAAATAAAATCATCACCTTTCGTTTTTTATCTTTTTTCAATTATGTTGTTTTGTTTAGCAAATTTTTAATACTTTTTTCCGTATATTTTTTTGTACTTTTCGTTCAACTGAAGTATTATTTGTGATCGAAAGTTTTTTCAAGTTGCTTGATAATTTTTTCCTATCTTTTCAGATTTGAGTTCAATTTTTTCTGTTTCAATTTGTTTTGGCTCTTGTAAACGGAATGAATTTTCTTTGTTTCAATATAATGCGTATCTAATTTGGAAAAAAAAATAGAAAACAGTAGATGCTGGATTTTTTCATCTTCCTCGATCGTCTTCTGTGCAATTTAATGCATTAAAAGCTAGCCTAGAGCTTTGGTTGAATAATTGTTTTCAAATTGTTTTGCTGATATATAGGAACATATGGAAATGGAAAGGTCTGCTGTCAGATGGAAAAGAATCAATGAATTCAAAGGAAACACACAAAAAAATTCTCCCTGGAAAAACTTCAGCCTTCCGAATTTAAAACAAAAAAATATTACCTTAAATTTCTTTGAATTTTAAAAATATTTTGTGATGACACTATTTTGATAATGATTGACACCTTTTTTTTGAACAATTAACCAAATTTGATAGTACAAAGTTTTTGTTTTATAGTACAAAGAGACTTGGTTTAAATGCTGTTAGTTTTCTCTCTGTTTCAGTGAGCATAGCGTGGACACGTATGGCCTGGTTGATCAGGGTGACTTCCTGATGCAACTGGGAATCCACCAAAGACTGGAGGACGCTATGAGAACTGCACCCAGTGCAGAGAAGTCACAAGACATACT